CTCTCTCTCTCCCTGTACCTTTCTGCAGGTTGCCCTGGCCCTGGAGCTCTATGTCTCTGACGAGCAGTCACCGGCCACATCGACCTGATCAGTGTTTGATTGTTGTGTCTTGTTGCTTTTCTTCTTTTGTCTCTCCTCTATCCACTCACCCCAACCGGTCGAGGCAGAAGGCCGCCCACCAAGAGCCGGGGTCTGTCGGAGGTTTCTTCCGTTAACGGGAGTTTTTCCTCCCCACTGTCGCCAAGTGCTTGCTCAAGGGGGATTTGTTGGGTTTTCCCTATGTAATAATATTGATAACAGTAAGGTCTAGACCTTACTTTGTAAAGTGTCCTGAGATGACTTTTGTTGTGATTTGGCATACAAGTAGATTTGAATTGAATTGAATTATTTATATTATCCAGCAGAGGTCCCTCTTTGTCAGAAAATGCACTGAAGGTTTGTCCATGAGTTTAGGACTTCATTATACAGTAAAATAACTAGCAGAGCGTTAAACGTTGTCTGTATAAAGTCTACCTTAAGATGATTTAAACATAAAAAGTAGTTTAACCCTTTAAGACTAATATATGAATGTATAATATTAAAAAAAACTCATGATGATATAGTCAGGGGTGGATCTATTTTGGATGGGGTGGCCAGGCTGAGGCACAGACTCAGAGAGCAGTAGCAAATTTCAAAGACATGTAAAAAGTAAACTGAACCCCTAGTTCTATTAAATAATAAACAATACATTATGGCTACCCCCTGGATGAGCCCATGGGTAAGGGAATCAAAAGAGTGTTAATGGGGATTAAGTGGATAAATGAAGTTAAAATAAACTAGGAGAGGAAATAGATGTGTTCACATGGATGTCAGCCGCACCACATTCCAGATGTGCCACATCAATGTGACAGTTTGAATGTTGACTGGAAAAGATTCAAAAGTAGAGCTTCTGTTCTTCAGTATAGTTTGAGCTTTTTTCATGTTAAACAATGTGTTTGCAGCTTATTTAGATGTGGTAGCAGACGATTTGGGGCTACATGTGCCTCTAATACCTGTATCACACCATGTCTTCTTGTATTGGTCCTTCCTTGTTGGCTTGTCAGTCATTTGGTCCAGACTGAAATGTTATGAGACGTATTGAATGGACAATCCGACGGTGGAAGGAATACTTCGAGGATCTCCTCAATCCCGGTGCCATGTCTTCCGATGAGGAAGCAG